GCAGATAGCCCTCGTGTAGCTTTGCGCGAGATTCAAAACAAACACACAAACTGCAACGGTGATCAGAAACCACTTCAGATAATTTATCATCCAAACGTCTACTTTAATATTGAACTTTGAAGATAAACACGCACAACATAAATTACCACTATCTTATAAGTGTTTAAGGTGAAACTCGAGTCACGAAATACCATGTTTTAGCAGACATAAATACCTGCAATAAACCATCCAAATGCCAAGAAATTCAGCAAAGTTGTGACGCTCCCGACGACAGTGACCCCTGTTGGCTGAACTGGATCGCTGATTCTTTTTAATCTGTCTAGAACAATCATCAGATTGCTTACCACCAACAATGATCCACTAACGATGAGCATCACAGGAATGTGTGTCTCAAGCGGACAGTCATTAATATATTTAGCTCCTAAAAACAGGAATATATATATATACACACACACATCTATACTCTTTACACCAAGTCTTTTAAATAAAAGTACCATTAATTAAAATTATGAATAACCTGCCAGTAAAAAGCAGAAAAATAATATTGCTTATTCAAAAGTATAAATTCACGTGAAACGGTAAGCGAAATAGATAAACATTAATTTAGTTTAGGTATACCATCTTACATGGCAGATAATGTTGTTCTTTATTTTGGTTATATTTTATTATGGGATGTTTTAACTTACCGATAATGATCATGGAAAGTGGGACGCCAAGGGTAAATAATAAAAATATCGTCCAAATAACTGTTAAAAGAAATGAAGTTTATTTTATAATCTCAACTGAAATTGCTATAAATCAGTTAACTTCTGGAGTAATGACAAAGTCACTTTCCAAAACAAAACTACAAAACACGGTTACAAAAGGTATATATTAAAATACAGAAACTTATGTTGTCAAGACTACACAAAGATTTAACGAACATAGATTTAGATGTTTAAACCAAGAAAAGAATGTAGTTAAAACAAAGTGCGAGATTAGGCTTAACTAACACAGTTTATGTATCCGAATAAGGAAAAGAAAGTAGCCTAAAACAATGTGCAAGATTAGGCTTAATTAACAAGGTATGTTGACATCAGGAAAAGAATGTAGTTAAAAACACACAGAGTACAATATCAAGCTGAAATAACACGGTTTCTATATCATAACTGGGAAAATAATGTAGTTAAAATCACGCAAAGTACAAGATTAGGCTTAACGAACAAGGTATGTTAACATCAGGAAAATAATATTACTGTTCATGCTTTCAGCTGTACAAGTGTTATAAACATTAACATTAAGCCCATTACTCAGCTCAAAGAGCTATACAAAGCACTTATTGCGGCAGGCGCCGCTCGCATGTTGCATTTCTTATAATCAGTAGTCCAAAATTAGGAACGGCCATATCTGAACCCTTCATTTCTCACGTGCTCATAAGGTGCCTGTCAGTTTGAAATTCATTTCAACCCATTTTTTGTTTTCTTAGTGCAAAGCTACACAATGGACTATCTGCGGGAAATCGAACCCCGAATTTTAGCTGGAGACTCCTTTGAACCTATGACGTCATGCTGCTATCAGAGGTAAAAAGTAACATATATATTCCAAATGGACATCTAAATGTAAAGACTTACAGGAACTGAAAACCATGTTGAAAAATTGCCTCACGAAATCCACTTTTCCTGAAGAACTTTCCTTTAGTTTTCTCATTTCATAGATCACGTTTTTGTAGATCGGTGGTTTGTCTGAAATCAGAAATAAGTGCGTACATTAAGGACCTCTGTATGTTATTATATTAACTGTAGCCGTCCAATATGTTATATTTCAATATTATTTACGAGGTATTATTATGGAGACTTGTGAATGACCACACCAGTCCAGAGGGCTCTCCTGCAGTTAATGATGAGTAATCAAAGCTGGAATTATCTGGAATTATTCACGAAGCGTTTTTTTTAATTGAACGTTGTAAGTTTTGAACTAATCGATAGTGTGTGTGTGTTTTTGTTGTTGTTGTTGATTTTTTGGGGGGGAGGGAGTTACGCGATATTGAAAGAAACGATATATATATAACGTTTATTAGTTATTTTGATACTGTGTAACCCCCTCTCGGAGGCTGTTCATCTACCAGAAGGACTGGAATTTAATAAATCTCCAATATTTCGTTTTTATTTATAAGTATTATAAAAGGTAGTCTATAAAAAATTGCGGTTCGACACCAACCGCAAGTTCTTTTTGTGTTTTTTTTTTTGAAAGCATTATATAAATTCCTAAGTAAAATGTGGCTTATTGAGTTGTTTTTTACTTTCTTAAATAATATTATATTAAATGTTTTTATATGTTACGTTCAATATCAGGTTCAGTAATTTGACCGAGGCAAATTACAAATTCGTAATTTAAGCATGTCAAAATTAGCAAAGATTGAAATTGCATGTTATTTAGGTGTATCGGCAAGTTATTTCACTCGAGTTGAGAAATTCTTGTTCTTGGGCTATCTGAACTCTGTCTACCACGGGCATCGAACCCTTGAATTTAGCGTTGTAAATCCACAAACTTGCCGCTGACTCACTGGGGGTACTCAAATTAGGAAACGTAAAATTCAAAATAAACAAAGAACGAAACAGACAGCTGCTTAGGATTTTTTTTTTGTTGTTTGTTTGTAATTAAGCACAAAGCTACACAATGGGCTATCTGTGCTCTGTCCGCCACGGGTATCG